GGGCAGGGAGAAAATTGCGGCAATGAATGAATGGAAATCCAAAACCTCTGTAAAAAAATGATTTCTGAAAGAAAAAAAAATTGTGGCTAACCTTGAGAAAAATGGAAATCTCATAACACTTGATTGTGCTCATGTGAAACCTGTACTTGAACCAGGAAACTATCATCAGAACAGAGCAAGGAAACACTGCATGGATAAAAATCAAGAAAAGAATGTGTCAGGGATGTGTCCTTTCTCCAAAACTTTTAAATTTATATGTGAAAATTATGTTATTTGGGAGGCTGGACTCTGAGGGGGAATGTGGCATCAGGATTGGAGGAAGATATATCAACAACTTAAGGAATGCAAATGACCATAACCTTGCTTGCCAAAATTGAGGAAGTTCTGAAGTGTTTGCTGCAGAATGTCAAGGACTGCAGTCTCCAGTATGGACTGAAGCTAAATATCAAGAAAGCAAACAGTCTTACCATTGGACCAATTGACAGCACCACGATAGATGGAGAGGATTGAGATTTTTTTTAAAAGAATTTTATCTTGCCTGGTTCCACAATCAACACCTTGGCACCAGCTGTTAGGAAAGGAAAAAAAAAACTAACTGTATTGGGAAAATATTGCTGTTAGGGACCTCTCCAAGTGCTAAAGAGTGATGATGCTAGTCTAGAGACTAAGGTGCACTTGATCCAGGTCATGGTCTTTGCAAGATGGACAATGAATAAGAATGACAGAAGAAGATGACTTTGAGCTGTGGTGTTGGAGTATTGAATATACCATGGACTGCTAAAAACACAAGCATATCTGTCCTACAGAGGGTGAAGCCAAGCTGCTTTTAGGAGGCAAGAATTTTGAAGCTCTGTCCCACATACTTCGGCATGTTGCCAGGAGGAACCAGTCCTTGTAGAAAGACATCATGCTTGGAAGAGTAGTGGGACAGGGCAAGAGAGAAAGACCGAGGATGAATTGAATTGACCCCGTAACTGAGATAATGGGTGTAGGTGTGTCAGAGGTAGTGAGACTGGCTCAGGATAGGGCAGTGTTCAAAACTATTGTTCAAAGGATCACTATGAGTTGCTGGAGAATCAATAGCATGTAACAATAGCAACAACTACCACCACCAAGAATGTCGATTGTGGATCCAAGTAAAATAAAACCATTGGCAATTTCAGTCTTTTATCCATACTTAGCGATATTACCTATTGGTCCAGAGGGGAGAATTTTTGAATTTTTGCTTTTTTTGATGTTGAAATGTAAGCCATATTGAAGGCTGTACTCGTTGATCTTCTTCAGCAAGTACATTAAATCTACTTCACTTTTTGCAAGCAAACAGAACATTATAACTTTTAAGCCGTTTAACATATGGGATTATTTTTTTGTAAAATATTTTCTCTTGTTTTACTTTGATTTTAGTGCTAATTTTTGGCATTGAGAATTATAAATATTTAATCTGTTAGGTTAATCCTTTAAGTCTTTATTGCCTTTTGTACAAAACTATTAAAATGCAATGGCCATGAAGATAGTTGTTTTTGCCTCTAATTTAATACTAAAACAAATATTTTACTTTTTAATTCACCTGTGGGTTTTCTTTTTTGGTGCAAATTAAAGAAAATATTTAATTTGACCATTCCTTAAAATAGTTGTTTTCTTGTAGTTCCTTTCTCCAGGACTAGATAGTACAAGAAGTTTGTGATTGACTGTAACCAAAAGTTTAGAAATTCAAACCTATCCAATGGCTCTACAAATGAAAAGACCTGGTAAAGTACTAGTGCAAAGATTACAGCCCTCTCTCCCCAGAACCTTTCTAGTCGGCACCACATGTAGTCTCCAGGAGTTAGATTTAATATGATGGTAATATGTTTGTTTCATATTTAAATTTTCTACTTATTTGTGATGATATTGAGAATCTTTTACTCTTACAAAATAATTTTTGCTTTTGCTTTTTCCTTTTTTTAGCAGATTCTGTTTCTAATAAAATTACAAGGAAATGGTAAGTCTGTAGTATTGTGTTTTTCTTATAAACCTAAACTGATGAACCAGCCTTGCTGGATTGGCAGACTTGATAGGGGATATTTGAATAAAATCTATCTTGAGATTTGTAAGGAGATTCCTATCCTTTTCCATTGTTACACAGCCCAATTCCAATCCTAGTTCCTACAGAGAAAGGGAGAAAAGAGGAAAAAATGATTGTTAAGTGAGGCAAGGAAGAAGATTAAGCTGTTGGAGAACTCTCCTTCACTCACTCAGTTTTTTATTTGTTTCTGTTGTTGTTTTGTGCCCTTGAGTTGAAACTGACCCATAGTGACCCTTCAGTGAGGTTTTCAGAGGCTGTAAATTACATAGGAAGAGAGTGCCTATCCTCCCACGGAGCAGCTGGTGTTGGAGTTGAACCATGTGCCTTTGTTATTGCAGTGCACATTCTTAATACAAGTTATCTGTTACATGCAAAGTCTGAGCATCCGAAGGTTGAGAATTCTGCATTAGTAGTCTCATGTCACAGGTTTTGTGAAACTTCTAGTGAACATATCCTAGTCTCCCTTTACCTCTAAATGCAACCAAAAAATTCTTTGGAATTTTGAGAAACTATCCTCTTAGAGTGGAGGGACAGCACAAGAGAGGAAGACCCTCGATGAGATGGATTGACTCAGTGACTGGGGTAATGGGGGTAGGTGTGTTGGAGACAATAAGGTTGGCAGAGGATAGAGTAGGTTTCAGGGCTATTGTACGTAGGGTTGCTATGAGTCACAAGCAGCTTGATGGCACATAACAGCAACAGCAACAACAACAACAAAAACATCCTCTAAGGAGAAAATATAACCAAACCACTCCACCCCACACCAAACCAAATGTATGTCAACACAGAGACATAAAATAAATGGCTCCTGCAAAAACATATTTACCCTTGTTTACTCTTATTGTTGTTAGGTGCTGTTGAGCGAGCTCAGAGTCACATCAACCCTGTGGACCACAGAACAAAACCCTATCTGATTTTGTTCCATCTTAACAACCTCTGCTGTGTTTAAGCCCATTGTTATAGTCATTGTGTCAATGTGCCTTGTCTAGGGTCTTGCTCTCTTTCTGTGACCCTCTACTTTTCCAAATATTATGACCTTCTCCAGGAACTGATTCCTCCTAATAACAAATTATATTTACTTTTACTGTTATGTGCCATGGAGTCATAAATGACTCATAGCTGACCCTCCCGTGAGTTTCCAGAGGTCGTAAATCACCTGGAAAGAGATTGCCCTTTTTTTTTTATTACAGAGTAGTGGATTCAAACAAGGTGCATTTGGGTTGACAGCACAACTTGTTACTCATGAGGCCACCAGAGTTTGGGGGAAATGAAGTTATAAAAGGAAACAGAATAGAATCACAAACAGTGAAAATAAGGATGTGGATCAATAATTCATATAAATGAGAAATACTTTCCTCAGTAGGTTAAAATTATTCCTATTTGTTGTTACTGTTTAACTTATTTACATGTATTTTATTATCTATGAATATATTTGTTTTAGCTTGTCTGTCAGCATGCTGTACTGTGGTAACTTGTGTTGTTTTGATACTAGAAGCTATGTCACTGATATTATAAAAATTGACAGAGTCCTCCATGGTGGACAGGTTTCCTACCAAACACAGAAAGGAAATGTGCAACAATTAGAAAAAAAAAATCCGTACTGGAAAAGTTTTTAAAAAGACCCAGAAAACAAGAATTCAGTGCTATTTGTTGAAGAGGCTGTCATTCCCCCATTTGATAGGTTTCATTTCCTTGTCGGGTACCAGCTGACTACAGGTTTAATGTTTGGGTTTTTGATTCTGTTCCATTGGTGTATGTGTCTGTCATTGTACCAACAAATGGTGCTGATGAAACTGGATTGCTACCTGCAGAAATGTGTAACAGGACCCATATCTCACTTCATACACAAAAATGAATTTAGGGTGGATCAGAGACGTAGGTGTAAAGCCCATAAAGGTCATAACAGACAGAATGGAACCAAACTTAGAAGACCTAGCCTGCAGTCTAAAGAGGCTGACAAATGCATTCAGAAATGCACAACCAGGAGGGGATAGCATCGATGAATGGGACCTTCTAAAGATTAAGTCCCTGTGTACACTAAAACTTTTTTCAATAGGGTGGAAAGAAAACCTCCGATCTTGGGAAAAAAAATTGTCAATAACATCTCAGACAAGGATCTCATAACAAAAGTTTACAGAATACTCCCGGGTCTCTACAAGGAAAAGACTGATAACCTAATTATGGAATGGCAAAAGACTTTTCACAGAGGAAGACACTAAAATGGCCAACAGATACATGAAGAAATGCTCAAAATCACTTGCAGTAAGAAAGATGCAAATCAAAACCACAATCAGATACCATCTCACCCCAGCAGCAGTGACATAATTTAACAGGACCGCAAGCAATATATGTTGGAGAGGATGTGGGGAGACTAGAACTCTCATACACTGTGGTAGGAGTATAAAATGGTATAACCACTCTGGAAGGCAGTTTGGCATTTCCTCAAAAAACTGAACATAGAAATGTGATATGACCTTGCTATTCCACTGGTAAGAATATACTCTGAGGAAAATGGAAATGAGACTTAAATGGAGATTTGTACACTGATAGTCATAGTAGCATTATTCACAATTAACAAGGAAATAGGAAAAGCCCAAATTTCTATCAACAATAACAACAACAAAATGAATTGAGAAATTGCAGTATTTTCACACAGAATACCACACCGCACTCAGGAGCCATGATTTCATAAAATACTATAAAACATAGGAGAAGCTGGAGAGTATTATGCTGAGTGAACTCAGTTTCATGAGGACAAATACTGAACAAGGCCATTATTGTAAAAATAGAAGGATAACTAGCAAGATGTGGATAAAAATCTAAAGGGGGAAGGGGAAAGTGGTAAGGGAATTGAGGGTAGGGAGTTTGGTGGGCAGAGGGAAGGCCTGAAGGAATTAGGATAGATCTGGTAGGTACCTGAAAAGACAGGGTGACAGTGGGCAAAGATAATGGTGATTAATTTTATAAGACAGTGGCTAGAACTGATTGTATGAAACACAATGTGGATGAAGGAATGTCTGATACACAGTGTACGTGAATGAGACACAATGCATATGAATTTTGTATGCAAACAACTATAAAATTTAATAAAGTAAAAGAAAATAAGGCCCCAGGAATTGATATATCAACAAACAGATATAGTCCTAGATGTTCTTTCTGGTCTATGCCAAGAATATTTGGAAGACAGTTGCTTGATCAACTTAGTGGAAGAGATCCATATTTTCCTATTCCAACAAAAAGGTGATCCACATAATATAGAAATTGTGGACGAAATCATTAATATCACATACAAGTAAGATCTTGATGAATATTATTTTAAAATGACAGAAGTAGTACATATCCAGGAAACTACCAAACATTCCATCTGGATTCAGAAAAGGTTGTGCAGTGAAAGGCATGATAGATGGATCCTGGCTGAAAGCAGGGAATAATAAAAGGAAGAAGTTTGCTTGTCTTTTATTACCTATGCAAGGTCATTTGACTATGTGGATCATAATAAATTATTAATATAATGGAGAAGGATGGAAATCCCAAAAGACTTAATTATGCTTATGTGGAACCTGTGCATGAATCAAGAAGCAGTAATCTCAACAGATTAAGAAGATACTGTATGGTTTAGAATCAGGACAGGTGTGTGTCAAGATTATATTCTTTCACTTGCCTATTCAATCTGTAGGATGAACTAATAATCCAAGAAACCAGACAATGGGAAGAAGAATATGGCATCAGGATTGGAGAAATACTCACCAACAGCCTTCAAGATCTAGATGACAACACCTTGTTTAAAAGGAACAGGATTTGAAGCATTTTTTTAAAGAAGATAAAAAACTTTCAGAACGGATTGTACCTTAACATAAAAAACAAACAAACAAAAATTCTTACCACTGGATTGTCTCCATTGTTGTCTCCATAGGCAACATTATGAAAGATGGAGAAAAGATTCAAGTTGTCTGTGATTTTATTTAACTTGGATCCACAGGAAATCAAAAGATGAATTCCATTAGGAAAATTTCCTGTTAGGGACCTCTCCAGAGTGCTGAAGAGCAAGGATGTGAGTCTAGAGACTAAGGTACCCCTGATCCAGGCCATGGTCTTTGCAATTACTTCCTATGCGTCAGAGAGCTAGACAATGACCAAGGATTACAAAAGAAGAATTGATGCCTTTGAGTTGTGGTTCTGGAGAAGAATATTGAACATACCATGGACTGCCAAGAGAACTAACAGGTCTGACCTGGAGAAGGTGAAACCAAGCTGCTGCTTGGAGGCAAGGATTTTGAGACTCTATCTCACATACTTTGGGTATGTAACAAGGAGGGACTGGTCTTTGGAGAAGGATATCACACTTGGAAGGGTTGAGGGATGGTACAGGAGAGGAAGACCTGGGATGAGATGGACTGAGACAATAACTGGAGTAATGAGGATAGGTGTGTCAGAGACAGTGAGATTGACTCAGGATAGAGGAGGGTTCAGAGCTGTTGTGCATAGGATTGCTATGAGTTGTAGTTGACTCAGTGGCACATAAGAACAATAACAATAGTCAATATCCACAGAAGTATCAGTAAAGAAATTAAAAGACTTATTTCCCCGGGGAAATTTTCTGCTAAGGATCTCTTTAAAGTGCTGCAAACAATGATTCCAGTGTAATGTCTAAGATGTGCCTGATCCTAACTGTGATCTTTTCATTTGCATCCTATGCATATGAAAGTTGGATAATGAATAAGGAAGACAGAAGAAGAATAGATACCTCAGAATTCTTATACTGAGTAAAAGTGCCTATTCCATGGACTATCCAAAGAACAAACATGTTTTGAAGGAAGTGTAACAAGAGTGCCCCTTGGAAGCAAGGAGAATGAGATTTTTCTCTCACATACTTTAGGCATTTAATAAGGGGAGAGGGCAGTCCTTGGAAAGGAAAATTATGCTTGGAAAACACAGAGGATCATGAGGGAGAGGAACACCCTCGATTAGATGGACTGACACTACCAACAACTATGTGCATAAGCACAGAGAAGAATTTTAGGATGGTGCACGGTTAGGTACAATTGTAATCTGCTGTACACAGGCTCGCCATGAGTCGAAGCCAACCTAAAGGCACCCAGCAGAAACAACAATGTGTTTTCCACCTTTATAATTCTAGTACTTGGTTTTTCTTTCTCCTCCTCTTCTATTCAGTAACTACTACTGCTTTGTCTTTGTGAAATATTTCTGTTTAAAAAGTCATATGTGAAGCTTCAAAAGCTGATAGAATGGTTCTAATACTTAGATTTTCCTAGCAGAAAATAAAATTCAGAGAAATTTGTGGTGACTAGATGGGTCACTATCTGCACTCAAAATACCACATTACTTCAAACGAATAATGTAAGCTGTTGCTGTAGTTTAAGTGCCATCACGCCAAGTACGACTCACAGTGATCCTATGAACAACGTATCTGAACCCTGTCTTATTCTGTGCCAACCTCACAATCTCTGATGTATGCTGAGTGAACACATATTACTGTTAATTAGGAGGAAGTATAGCTAATATATTTCGAAGAAGGAGTGGAATCCACTTCCTAAACAACATGCCTCTGGGAACTCTATGAACTTTGATAAATGATGATAGTTATTGAAAGGCTTCAGGCTTTTTGTTCATAGGGTCGCTTTGAGTTGTGCTCGACTCAATGGCAATCAACAATAACAATAACAAAATCAAAGCATATATATATATATAATTTTATGTTTAAAAATAACTGTGGAGATTGTTGGGTTTTTCCCCCACTACTTTTATTTGATGGATTTGGTTTTGAGGAATGATGTTGTCTCCATTAGCTACTCCTGTCCTCATCCTCTAAAAAGATTTTATTATACAAATGTGCCATCTCGTAATGTCATTGTTGTTAGGTGCCATCAAGTCAACCAAGATTCGTAACAACCCTAAGAACAACAGAAGTCTACCTTGCTCTATCCTGCACCATCATGTTCTTCAAAATGCTCAAGAACATTTTTCAAGGCACTGTGTTAGTCCAGCTCGTTGAGGGTCTTCCTCTGACCTTCCATTTTTCTGAGGATGATGTCTCTTTTTTAAGGACTAGCCCTTCCTGACAGTAAGTCCAAAGTATGTGAGACCAAGTTTCACCAGCTGTCTCCAAGGAGGCCCTTGGTTGCATTGCCTCCAAGACAGACATTTTTATTCTTTTGGCAGTTAATGGAATATTCTGTACTCTTCAGCAACACTACAATTCAAAGTTGTGAAGAAACTTATTTTCTGAAGTTAAGCAAGAATGTTTAAATGTAAAAAGAGCAGTATGACTGAAAAGAGTCAGACAATGACTTGGATTATTCTATGAATTTAGACCTGGAATTATTTCAGAGTCATTGATAGTTAAAAGTTTTAAAAACTTACTTAGCTATTATCAAATAGAGATTAGTCATCAGTAAAGACATGGGACAGTAATTTAGTCCTCATTTTTTTATAAATCTGCTTTCAAGAGTATAATCCCTTCACGTAGATTCACTTCTCTTGTTTTTGCATGAGAACATGACAAAATGTGATGTAATGCAATTCCTGAGAGAGACAGGAAGCCCATGATATGATTACGATCTTTATTTTATTTCGTTTAGAGATGTAACCAAGATGACATAATGAACAATACATATAAGTGAATGAGAAGGCTGAAATATTAGTCAGATCTCCACACAGAGTAACCAAGAGTTAATGAGATTACTTGCAATGGAAATAATGGTCCAATTTAAGTATGTGGAGAATAAGCTAAGGACTACCAATAGTCTTGTATAAATTATGCATTTAAAAAGCAGCATTACCTTGCAGGTGAAGAAAATCTAGCTAGGAAAATCTTGGTTTAGAGGAGATGATTTATGTGAGAAACCAACTTCCTTGTTGTTATGTGTCATCGAGATGCCTGTGACCCATACAAACCCTATGTAAAGCAGCTCTGAACCCTGCTCTGTCCCGAGCCAGTCTCACTGCCTCGGGCACACCAACCCCCATGACCCCAGTTACTGTGTCAGTCCATCTCATCCCGGGTCTTCTTCTCCTGCGCTGTACCTCCACCCTTCCAAGCATGTAATGATTAATATATAATAAATTGTTTGGCTTGGGCTTAGAGCTTGTTTTCTTCTCCATCCCAGCCACCTTTCCTGGATAGTTGGCATAAGCTATATCGTTGGGGGTCCTGCAGGATTCTGTAGCAAAGTCATTCGTTTGTTGAATAAGAATGTATATTTTCTTTCTAGTAATGGATGTATTTTCATCCATTCTAGGTATTAATGGAAATGGTTAGAGTATCCTTATAGGAATTACATGTTGTTGTTGTTGTTAGGTACCATCAAGGTGACTGTGACTCATTGCGACCCTGTGATGACCAGATCTGAACCTTGTCCTATCCTGCATGATCCTCGGCCAGTCACTGCAGAAGTCACCAAGCCGTTCTATCTCATTGATTGTTCTGCTTTCTTTTGCCAACACTCTAATATCTCCAGCCTGATGTCTTGAACACATCCCACCTGTTGTTACAGACTATCTCAAGCATAGTTTGATGCACTGAACATTGATAACTGAAGCCTGGATGAAGGTGTGGGGTGACAACATAATACATCACAAAGTCAGGAAAGAAAATGAAAAAGATGTGAGTGGAAGAAATAATGAAGTAAAAAAAAAAGAAAGAAACAAGGTAGGAGGCATCTCATTCCCTGATTTCAAATCCTATTACACTGCTGTGGTCAAGACAGCATGGTACTGGCACAATGACAGACACATAGATCAATGGAATAGAATTGAGAACCCAGAAATCAGCCCATCTACCTATGGGTGAAATCAGTTAAGTGGGGAAACGACAGCCTTTTAAACAAATGGCATTGGCAAAACTGAAAAACCATCTGCAGAAAACTCAAGCAAGACCCGCACCTCACACTATACACAAAAACCAACTCAAAGTGGATCAAGGACCTAGGACTAAAACCAAGGACTATAAACCTCATCAGAAAAAAGCTTGGAAGAATTCTAAAAGCCCTAATCCACAACATGAACAGTTTTCCACGCATTCTGAAAAACCTACAAACAGGAAAGAATAAAGTAGATGAATGGGACCTTCTAAAACTTAAATCTCTATGCACATAAAAAACCTTCTCCAGGAGGGTGAAAATGAAAGCCACCGACTGGGAAAGAATATTTGGCAATGAGATGTCTGATAAAGGATTTATATCTAGAATTTATAGAACACTCGAGCACCACAACAAGATAAACAACCAAACTGCAAAATGGATACAGGATATGAACAGACACTTCACCAAAGATTTCGCCTAGTTAAGAAGTGTGTGTTTTTACCTGGTGTCTTCTGTAGACAATATGCACTCTTCATTTTGTAGAATATTTACTGTCTAGATTTTATTTTTGGTTGTTGTTATGTTTCTTATCAGAGACCATTAGTGCCTTGTTTGTGCTGTTGAGTACAACCCTTAGCAACCCAACAACAGAATTGACCTCATCCTACCCTGTGCCCTCTTCATCATCTCTATAACATATTTAAGACTATTGTTCCACAATCTAGCTCACTGAGAATCTTCCTCTCTTTCGCTAACCTTCCAACTTTCCCAGTATGATTTTATTTCCTAATATGATTTTACTACAAACTGTATTAATGATCTAGAGATCTTGGGTGGCTTAGTACTAAGCAGTTGGGCTGCTAGTCCAAAGGCATGTTGTTTGAATTCATTGGCTTCTCTGAGGGAGAAAGATGGACAATCTCCTCCCACGCAATTACTGCCTCTGAAAACCCACTGAAGGGTCAGCTATGAGCCAGTTCTGACTTGACAGTACATGACAACAAAAACATACTAATGATCTAAAAGTGTGAATTTTAGGTCCACAGTACTTCTAGCTACTTTGAATCTTATAGCCCTTTTCAAATCACATAAAATAGAGCATAAAAATAGAGTTTATTTTTGCCTGGATAAGATTTGTTTTCGTAGGAGTCATCTAATAGATACATATATTTGAATAAGCATTCTCTTTGAATTAATCAGTTGGTATTTATTAGTTTTTTCTCCAGGAAAAGAATCCATGATCTTTCTAGACCTAAGAAACAATGGGGAACTCCAGACAGGTAAGGAAATAGAATATGGACTTGTTTGGGATCGTTACATATATTTCATTAAATAGGTATGTATTATTTTACCTTCCCATTTGCCTTGCATATCGGATATGTCCGCCTCTCTGCTAAATTGGCTCCACAACCAAAATTGTTGCTTCAGTTGAGAAGGCACATGGTAGACTAACTCCAGGTCCATGGATCTTAAGCGTATCTGCATGTAGGAATCACCTGGGGAATTTTAGAAAAGAATGATGCCTAGGTCTCATCTTCTGAAATTCTAATTTAATTGAGCTAGATTGCAGTGTTAAAATTTCTAAAACTCAATCACTTATTGCCCAGTGAGTTGGAACCAACTTATAGCTGACCTTCCAGTGGGGTTTCAGAGGTTGTAAATTGTGAGGGAGGACATAGCCTATCTTTCTCCCTTGGAGCAGCTGGTGGATTTGAACTGCCTGCCTTTGGATTGGTAGTACAACTCCTTACCCACTAGGCCACCAGAGCTCTCTAGAGCTATAAAAACTCCCCAGATAACTCTGTTGGTAGCAGAATTGGAGAGTCTTGTCCCCAGGATATGACACTTGTACCTCTCCTTCAGGTCCAATTTTGTTGCCTCTGAAACCTGGTGTAGCTTTTCTAAGCTTCTACTTAAAGTGTAGTTTTCCTCTGGAACTCCAGCAAATTGGCCTTTGAGTTCTCCCAACCTTGACCACAAGATTCCTCTTAAAAGTATATATCTTATTTATTAGTTGTGCTTTCGATTATGATTATAAAATTTGCATAACTTTGCTCCCTTTGTCTCTATTATTGTTGTTGATTCCTGTCGAGTCAAGCATGACTCATAGCGACCCTATAAACAAAAGGCCTGAAGCTCCTCTACAACTATCGACATTTATCAGAGTTCCTAGAGTTTCTGGAGGCATGTTGTCTCTATCATATACATTGATACAGCACATAAAAATGTGCATGTAGATTTGTTGTCTACCAAATCTGTTAATCCTTTTCACCTTCATATATATCTGTTCATCTTCCTGTTAGCCTATGATGGTTACATAGTGATGAATATACTTCATATGTACTTTGAAAAAAGTTTACTTTCCTATTCTACAGTTTTTACAATAAATGTTTCATGACCCTACTTAGAGTCCCTGTAATGTGCCAGCCCTCATCTCATTTCCAGGATGAATTTCCCATTTCCTTTCAGCTGGATTTCTCTACCCCTTTTGCCTTCTCATCTTTACTTTTGGGCAAATATTGTTCTGATCTGATTAAATGATTGTTCTGAGGTACTTAGTGATTAATAGATTTCATATGGACTTTTCCCCCCCTGGGTGGGTGTCAAGAAGGTGGGCTGAGTTAAGAGACCCGAAATGGCCTGTTAGGTGTTGGAATAGCTTTATAAGACACAGGGCCAACATGAAAGTAGTGGTTGAGCCTGTAAGGACTTACCATGACAGTCTAAGCTAGAAATGAAGCCCAGAAAGGTTATCTACTCTCCCTTGTTCCCTGTTTCCCCAGGAGCAGCAGCCAGAGAGTCTCATGGGTCAGTGCAGATGTGGGGACTTGTCTTATTGGTGAGAGAGCCTCGGATGAAAAGCTTCTGCAGTTTTGTGGATAGCAGAAGGAAAGTTAGCAGTGGGAAGATAGTGAGTACAGTGTTAGAAGGGAGAGTATCTTCAGGGTTTCTGCTTTACCCTGATGAACTTTCCTCAGAGATTCCTAAGGAAGGCCTCTCTCTAGGGGAGGACTGCTGAGGAAGAAGCCTCCATATGGACGAGGAATGCTGATTTGCAGATGGAGGAGTGAGGGGGCACGTGTTGTGTCCTTGACTGCTACTCACTTAAGAAATTGTATTGAGAATGCACTGGGCATGGTTGGATAGGGCAGGTAAAGCATTTGTAATTATCTATTACAGGTCAGGTGTGAAAGCTTTATACAAATACACAGAGACTTGGCTAGGAACAGTACTCCTCATTGGATACACACACACACACACACACACACACACACACACACACACACACAAGTACATTGTTGACAAACCTTGGTAAGAGGCATAGACATTGGTAAGGGGCATGTTAATGAATATTGGTAATACAGTCAATAATCTTGAGATATTTCCATCCCTTCCAAGTGATTTTGAGACCAGTGGAAAAAATCAAGCAAAATAATTAAGTTGGAAAATGTAAGTAGCTTACCCAAGTTCTGTGTACTTTTCTAGCCATTTTTTAATGACCTTCAGCAGTATTTTGCTTGTGTGAAATCCATAACCAATACACTTGGTAGCAAATATGAGTCATTGTGTCAATCCATCTGGTTGAGGGTCTTCCTCCGCTTCCCTATACCCCCACCTTTCCAAGCATAATGTCCTTCTCCTATTAACATGCCCGGTGTATGCAAGACGAAGGTCTGCCATCTTTGCCTACAAGGAACACTTTGTAGTCAGTACTCTTCTCTAATACCACAGTTCAAAGCCATCAATTTTTCTTCTGTCATCTGTATGTCCAACTCTCAGCAGCATGACAAGTAACTGAAAAGGTCATTGTCTGAATCAAGCTCACCAAAGTTCTCAAACTAATATCATTCCTCCTCAGTAATTAGAGAGGTCCCTGACAACAGGCTTTCCAAGTGCAGTTCGTCTCCTGACTTCTGGTATCCAGTGTATTGATTGTGGAGTCAACTCAGATTGTGATTCACACTGGATAGGAAAGGAATCAGATCTGTTGTTCATAGGATCACTATGAGCTGTACTCGACTTGATGGTACTTAACAACCCAAAGTTCACACAGCTTGCAAGTAACAACACTCTGCTTAGAATACAGAGACCATCAAAACAACTATGAGGTATCATCTCACCCCAGTCAGAATAGGAATATTTAACAGAACAGCAAGCAACAAATGCTGGCAAGGTTGTGGAGAAACTGGAACCCTTATTCACTGTTGGCGGGAGTGTAAAATGGAGCAATCACAGTGGACGGCTGTATGGCACTTTCTCAAAAAGTTGCAAATAGAGATACCATTTGACCCAGCAATTCCACTACTGGGAATATACCCCAAAGAGACCATAACTGACACCCAAGCAGATATATGCACACCCATGTTTATTGTGGCTTTGTTCACAATAGCAAGGAGTTGGAAACAACCCAGGTGCCCATCAACAAACAAATGGAGCGAGAAGCTATGGTATATTCACACGGTGGAATACTACACTGCGTTGAAAAACAAGGAACTCATGCAATATTATATAAAATGGTTGACCCCGGATGACATTATGTTGAGTGAAGTATCTCAGTCACAGAAGGACAAATACTGTATGGTGCCACTGTTGTAAAACAGGCCTGATCTCAGGGTTGGGGGGAGATTGAGAAAGATGGGATAAATAATGTATACTGCCTTGAAACAGATGAGGAAGAAAACTGTTTAAAAGGGATATGTGATTATGTATTTTTGTCATGACAGGAGTCCAGAGTGAAGGCTGCATAGTGGAGTGTACCTAGGGGGAGTAAAACAATGAAAGAATTTTTCTTTTACTTTTCCAAGAGGGTGGTTTACTAGGGGGGAGGGTTGGGAGGGGGAAAAGTGCAACAATGAATGAATGGAAATCCAAAGTCTCTAAATTTTCATTGAAATTAATAATAAATTAAAAACCAAAACAAAACAAAAAAGAATACAGAGACCATTATTTGTATTACATCACACTGTCAGTTTTAGAGAAGGACAGTCCCTCTGTTGTCACAGAGAACCAGAGGCAGGAAGATTGATGAGGGGGGAGGGGTATAACTATAATGCAGGCCTAGTCCTAGCATAGTGCGTGGAGAGTTGTGCTGATAACGAAAGGGAGAGCCTCTTTACCAATTAGAATCAACCTGTGTATGGCTCTATGGAGGAGGGGGAAGGTGGACAGTCCTTCTACGTGATTTACAGTCTCTGAAAACCACTGTGTTGGTGAGAGAGTGTGTCTTAAGACAGGGAGTCTTTTTTAAAAAAATTTTATAAATTTTAACGAAAGTTTACAGAGACTTAGGGTTTCCAGTCATTCATTGTTGCACTTTTCTCCCTGCCCACCCCCTCCCCCAAGACAGGGAGTCTTTGGGTGGAACAAATGGTTAAGCAGTGGGCTTAAGGTTAGGATTCTAATTCATGTTGAAGTGCCTTGGAAAGAAAGGTCTGGAAATCTGCTCCCTAAATGCCATGCTCGTGACAAAGTAGAATGCAGCTCTACTATGAAACACAGAAGGTTGCTGCGAATTAGAATTGGCTTGATGATAACCTTTTTGTTGTTGTTTTTATACGTGATAGCAATGAAGATTGAAAGACGTGGAGCCAAATATGGGTTGACATGATCTGATGACAAGTGAAATATAAGAATTTGGGGTAAAAGGAGGAGTCAAATAGGATTTCTTGATTAGTAAGTTATAAAATGCTATTATAACTGCAAAAGGAAGTATTAGAGGGGGACCAATTCAGTTTCCTTTCTCCAGACCTAACGCTTTGAAAAGCTAGACTCCCTGAAGAAGAATGTGCCATCAGGATTGGAGGGTCAGTAACCTGTGTTATGCAGATGGTACAGCTTTGCTTCCTGAAAGTGAGGAGGAGTGAAATGCTTGCTGCAGAAGATCAAAGGCTACAACCACGGATTATCTCAGTATCAAGGAGGCACAAATCCTCACCACTGGACAATATGGCAACATCATGACAGATGGAGAAAAGGTTGAAATTGTTGACTATTTCATCTGCACGGATGTCTCTTTCCAAGGAATATTTTAATTGTGCAGTGTAGTAAGAGTTTTGTTTATCAAATCAGAACTCCAGCAGGTTTTCAAAGGCACTAACTCGTGTGAGAGGAAATTGACCTTCCTTCTGTATTGGAGCAGCTGGTGAGTTCAAACTGCATGCCTTTGAGATTACAACATAGCCTCTTACCAGTAGGCCTCCAGAACTCCCTTCCAAGTAGCCCTTCCTAACAACATGCTCAAAGTATGTGAGATAAAACTTAGTCATTCTTGCCTCCCAGG